AATGTCTTGGTGTGCTGATGCCTTAAGAGTTCCCATCACTGGAACTAAGGGGCCAAGCCCAACCCCTGGAAAACACCGCCCCCCCATAATCCCCCCTCCACCAAACTTTGCACTTGGCACAATGCAGTCTGGCAAGTACCGTTCCACTGGCAACCGCCAAACCCAGACACGCCCATCGGATTGCCAGGCAGAGAAGCGTGATTGGTCACTCCAGAGAACACGTCTCCTCTTCTCTAGAGTCCAGTGGCGGCGTGCGTTACACCACGGCATCCCACGCTTTGCATTGCACTCTGTGATGTGCGGCTTGGATGCAGCTGCTCGGCCATGGAAACCCATTCCATGAAGCTCTCCATGCACAGTTGTTGTGCCAATCTGAAGGCCGCATGGAGTTTGGAGGTCTGTAGCTATTGGCTCTGCAGGCAGTTAGAGTTAGTTGAAAATGTGGAATAGACTCCCCCAGGAGGTAGTTCTAGCTAGCTCAGTTACCTCTGTGATGTATTCCTAAATGCGCAGAATATTACTGGATATTGAGTTCTTATAGGTATATTAGGCATCAGAGATTGTTGATCCAGGGAATATCCCATTGCCTTATGGGATCAGGAAGGATTTTTTTTCCCATGTTGGAGCAAATTGAACCATGCTTTATAGGGGTTTTTTTGCCTTCCTCTGGATCAACAGGGGGTAGCTGTGGGCATAGCGTTCTGTTTAGGCTTTTCTTCTCTTTTTGTTTAGTTTTTTTTTCTCCGTATCTGTATAGGTTGAACTCAATGGACTTGTGTCTTTTTTCAACCTGACTAACTATGTAACAGTTGGTTCCACTTTGTTATAATCCCAGTAACAGGTGACCGCGGAATATTTAGTAGCCAGGAAATTTCACGGAACACCTGAATCCAATGATTTGGAGGGGGAGGGGCCCAATACTTTTGGAAATATAGTGTATTTTTTAAATGCAACCTAAACGTGACCTGGTATCAGCTTGGTGCTGCCCCTGTACAGCAGAGCTTAGTCTGGGAGATGGAGAAGCAGCACGAGATGCCAATAGCATTGATCTGCTTGTTTGAAGTATCTTTGTGTCTTTATGTCGGTTTTCTTTCTTCCAGCCCTGAGATATTCACTATTAATACATCAAACTGGACTTGGGGGTTTCTTGGAAACTTTTCACCACTTCTAATCCTCACCATTAAAATTCCTTTTTCTGATCTCAGGCCTGAAGAAGCCACTAATATAGACCGTAATGTGTTTGATATAATAATGAGCAGGTCCACATGTGTGTTTTACATTGTAATGCATCATTGTATTCATTATGTACCTTTAATAATGTCCAGGACACGACTCGGCCATCAGAAGAAACAGAGAAGAAATTCAGGTTCTTGTCTAGATCATCTTTCTGCCACTTCACCTGAAAAGGAAAATTGGGAGTGAAACACGTATAGTGTGGAGGAGCACGGAGGAAGGTCAGGGGTGAGACACGTATAGGAAGGTCAGGAGTGAGACACGTATAGTGTGAAGGAGCACGGAGGAAGGTCAGGGGTGAGACACGTATAGTGTGAGGAGTACGGAGGAAGGTCAGGAGTGAGACACGTATAGTGTGAGGAGTACGGAGGAAGGTCAGGGGTGAGACACGTATAGTGCGGAGGAGCACGGAGGAAGGTCAGGGGTGAGACACGTATAGTGCGGAGGAGCACGGAGGAAGGTCAAGGGTGAGACACATATAGTGCGGAGGAGCACGGAGGAAGGTCAGGGGTGAGACACATATAGTGTGAGGAGCACGGAGGAAGGTCAGGGGTGAGACATGTATAGTGTGGAGGAGTGCAGAGGAGTAAGTGTACAGTTTGGTGTGTTGCAGCTTATCTTGCTGCATGCTTAATGATATAAAATCAGGGATGGTGGGAGCCCCTCATAATGGGCACAGCGGGTGTACAGACCCAGGAACTCAGCACAGGGATGGTGGGAGCCCCTCATAATGGGCACAGCAGGTGTACAGACCCCGGAACTCAGCACAGGGATGGTGTGAGCTCCTCATAATGGGCACAGCGGGTGTACAGACCCAGGAACTCAGCACAGGGATGGTGGGAGCCCCTCATAATGGGCACAGCTGGTGTACAGACCCCAGAACTCAGCACAGGGATGGTGGGAGCCCCTCATAATGGGCACAGCAGGTGTACAGACCTGGGTACTCAGCACAGGGATGGTGGGAGCCCCTCATAATGGGCACAGCGGGTGTACAGACCCGGGTATAACCCACATTCACAAAGACTGATCCTTTAATTTGATTGGCTTGAACAGTCCAGCCCCGGGACATTTGCTATCCTTAGACAAGCAAGAATATGTCCTCTGCAGCCACATCCAGACCCAACAATTGCCCTCGCAGCACTGCTCCTGTGTTCTACTTATTAAAGTGTATATCTCCACCTCGGCGGTTAATATTTATCTGATTAAAGACAAGTGAGAAAATCAATAACAATTCATCTCCCAACAAGTGGCACAATGAACTAAGCTAAGCTGCCCAAACAGGAGCAGAGGAGGGAGCGGAATACCGATGAGGGGATCACCGAGCTCCACCAGCATCTGCATTACATTCCTCCGTCATTCATCAGGAAATATCTCTCCACCTACACAGAGGTTCCGTGTTCTCAGATCTGATGAGAGGTGCTAAAGATCTCATTATCAGACTTCCCCCCATCTCAGATTGTGAGACGGTGACGGGGAAGATGGTGGATGGGAGATCCGTCTTTTCGGACATCCTGTTATCTATTTACAACGGAAGAAACAGTTCTTGGACTCTGTGACATTGTTGGTCAGCTGTACTTCGCATGGACCACAATATGTGCATTATGAGAACTGCTACACGGCACAGGACACTCAATTTATGGGGGCCATAGAGCACAAATGTGGGAGCATTGGTGATGCCGTCATCTTTAAGTTTGTTATGTAACATGTCTCCAGTATGTAAGCATGCTTGTAGCAATTCTGTAGTCTCTGACCATGTTCTGTAGTAAGCCCATAGTCCCTGACCATATCCTGTAGTAAGCCCATAGTCTCTGACCATGTCCTGTAGTAAGCCCATAGTCTCTGACCATATCCTGTAGTAAGCTCATAGTCTCTGACCATATCCTGTAGTAAGCCCATAGTCTCTAACCGTGTCCTGTAGTAAGCCCATAATCTACAACCATATCCTGTAGTAAGCCCATAATCTACAACCATATCCTGTAGTAAGCCCATAGTCTCTGACCATGTCCTGCAGTAAGCCCATAGTCTCTGACCATATCCTGTAGTATGCTCATAGTCTCTGACCATACCCTATAGTAAGCCCATAGTCTATGACCAACCTGTAGTAAGCCCATAGTCTCTGACCATATGCTGTAGTAAATCCACAACTTCTGACCATGTCATGTAGTAAGCCCACAGTCGCGAATTATCTCCTATAGTAAGACCACAATCTCTGACCACCTTCTGTAGAATGTCCACAGTCCGCAGCCATCTCCTGTATCAAGTCCATGGTCTTTAACCATCTCCTGTAGTAAGTCCACAGTCTCTGACCATCTACCGTACTAAGTCCTAAATCTCTGACAGTCTTCTTCAGCAATACATAAGCCGCATATAATGCAAGTCTCTTTGGTGATGTCATTGGCCACATTTGAGGTTCCCTATAGTAGATGGACTACCGCTGCCATACAGTCTCTCCAGGTTTATGAAGAATAGTGCGACAAACATCGCCCCTCCGGTGAGCGTAGAATAGTACATACAAATTCTTTCCATTAGCTTGGAGTTTTGGATGGATCTCATTATTATTATTATACAGGATTTATATAGCGCCCACAGTTTGTGCAGCGCTTTTCTCATTAGGCACTGTGGCCCCTGTGCTGACGAGCAGCACTCACAGACCAGGCGGAGATAATACAGACAGTGCACGACATGTTACATTGGCCAGAAGCAGGAAGACGATCAGAAATTCCGAGTACATTAAACTGTGCGATAGATTTTCCATTTCCTAATGAATATTAATCATTTCTAACAAAAAGGCTATTAATCTGCTCTCCTTCTCCCAACATCCCTCCGCTAACAGAACGCAGCCCGCTGCCCGCGCCATGCCGCCGAGGAAACAAAGACCCAATTCCAAACATGCTAATAAGTCTCATATTTAAGGACATGAAGTGCAGCATTGACTTCTTTAAAAAGGAAGTATTCAGATATCATCATGTGCATCCCGAACCCAAAAATCAAGGCAACGGTGTCGTATTTAGAGCTGAACTTTAAAGGAGAACTATGGGGTCAGGGCTTTCCCCCATAGTTCTCTTTAGGGTAACGGGAGGACACAAACTAGCGTCCTCCCGTCACCCTAAGCTCAGTATACCGCGAGCTACAGCTTATTATATACTGAGACGCCGCAGGTGAAGCGGATCCCAACAATTATGTCTGGATCCGCCCAGCTGCGTGAGTGACAGCTGGCTCTGCCTATCTAGAGGCAGAGCCAGCTGTACCCGCCCCCTCCCCCGTCCGTTCCGCCAGTCAGCGCTGGAGGATCGGAGCGGGGAGGGGGGAATCCAGCCCCTCCCCTGCCACGGCTCTCTGCCGTGACAGGATGGAGAGGTGAGCGAACGCCGGTATGTGTTCTCTCACTTCCCGATCTACCGAGCCGACCTGTGACAGTCTCATTGTCACAGGTCGGCTAGAACTATGAGG